CTCTCTCTCTCTCTCTCTCTCTCTCTCTCTCTCTCTCTCTCTCTCTCTCTCTCTCTCTCTCTCGCTCTCTCGCTCTCTCGCTCTCTCGCTCTCTCTCTCTCTCTCGCTCTCTCTTTCCCCAGATGGACCACGACCCACGGAACCCAGCCTACATTGCTACTCAAGGCCCTCTCCCCTCCACGGTGGCTGATTTCTGGCAGGTACAGTCCTCTCTTTCATAAAATCAATATCTTCTCCAGTCTTAAACAAGAAGGGAACCGTGTTATTAGCAGTGTAATTCAAACAGGAAACAAGTGCTTTTTGTAGACGCCATAGCCTCCATATATACCGCTACACAATCTACTTGCAAACGATAATCAAATATCAGTACACATTAAACATACAGATAGACCTGGTTGTGTCACGCTAGGAGAGAAAGGGAGGTCGTCTTGAATTAGATTTTATTATTTAATGCAATCGATAAAGTGGTTCATTCTTATTCTACCTCTCTGGTAATGGTACTATGTAGGGAATGGGGAATGGGTCACCAGTGTGCTACTGAGTGGAAGGAATGCCTGGCCCAGCATGAGGACAACTGGAGTATGTGCCTCCCCCTGTCCCTGGACCCCCTCTCTGCCTAATCCCTGTTGGGCCCTGGACACACTCTGAGAGGGGGGATGGAGGCTCTCTCTCCCCTCTCCTCCCTAATCTTCTCCCTCTTGTCCATTCACTGGCCCTCTCCACACAGGATGCAGCTCTCTCTCTTCTTCACCTCTTTTAGCTCTCTCCCTCCCCCTCTCTCTCGCTCTATGTCTTTCTCTTTCTCTCTCTCTCTCGCTTCTTCGACTCTTCTCTCGCTATCTCAATTCCCCCACACTCTATTACCCCTCTCCTCTTCCCCTCTCCGTCCCCTCCCCTCCCCTCCCCCTCTCTCTCCCCCTCTCTCTCTCTCTCTCTCGCTCTCTCTCTCTCTCTCTCTCTCTCTCTCTCTCTCTCTCTCTCTCTCCGCTCTTTCTTACCCCTCTCTCTCAACCAACTCTACCTACATGTACACTACCAGTCAAAAGTTTGGACACACCTACTCATTCAAGGGTTTTTCTTTATTTGTACTATTTTCTACATAGTAGAATAATAGTGAAGACATCAAAACTATGAAATAACACATATGGAATCATGTAGTAACCAAAAAACTGTTAAACAAATCAAAATATAGTTTATATTTGAGATTCTTCAAAGTAGCCACCCTTTGCCTTGATGACAGCTTTGCACACTCTTGGCATTCTCTCAACCAGCTTCATGAGGTAGTCACCTGGAATACATTTCAATTAACAGGTGTATTTTGAATTGTTTAACACTTTTTGGGTTACTACATGATTCCATATGTGTTATTTCATAGTTTTGATGTTTTCACTATTATTCCACAATGTCGAAAATAGTAAAAATTAAGAAAAACTCTTGAATGAGTAGGTGTGTCCAAACTTTTGACTGGTACTGTACATATTACCTAAATTACCTCGACTAACCTGTGCCCCCACACATTTACTCTGTACCGGTACCCCCTGTATATTGCCTCCCTACTGTTATTCTACTGCTGCTTTTAAATTATTATTATTTATTTTTTTACTTATCTATTTTTTACTTAACATTTATTTTTCTTAAAACTGCATTGTTGGTTAAGGGCTTGTAAGTAAGCATTTCACTGAAAGTATTCGGTGCGTGTGACAAATACAATTTGATTTGATCTCTTTCCCCCTCTCCCATAATCATTAAGGCGACTCAGAGTTTGGGGAGCTTCCATATTCAGGCTTTAACTGAGGTTATTGTCAAGTGTCCATTCCAGAAGAATGATGTTCTACAATCATCAAGGGCTGGTTTCCCGGACACAGATTAAGACTAGTCCTAGACTAAGAAGCTCTTTCAATGGAGAATCAAGTAATAACCTTGATGTAGCTTCACATTTATTCAGGACCATTATAACTGTAGTTATTGGGAGGGTTGTTCAATGGGCTTAAAGTGGCAATCAGCAGTTGAAACAGTAACAAAGCGTCCTCCCAGCCCCTGTTGCGGTAAAAAAGCTGAGAGATGGGGCTGGAGAAATGTAAACACTCTCAAATTCATAAACAGACATGTGGATGCAAGGACTGACCATCCATGACATCACAATATAGTTTTAACCATGTTTTGAAGCTTTATAGGGTTTGTTTACATTTACTTTGTTTACAAATATTGGAGTAAAACAGGCTTATATTTTGGGTTCTGATGGGGTACAACAGTTTAAATAAGCTCATCATGCATTTATAAGTTATATTCTTCAAGAATGAATGGGTACATACACAATATTAATTTAAAAGTCCAAAAATGGATGTAGCAACTGCAGATTGCCCCTTTAAGATGACCTACTTTAATTGGTATCTTTATTATGAAATGTTGAGCCATAGGTGAGAGCATCCTGGTCGTCTGATGAGTGTAACAATAATGTTTTATTAGCACCATTAACCTGCCTGCAGTTTTTCTATCCTGCCAATGGCTCTCTGGAGCCTATCTACTTTCTGGCCAACGGCAAATCAACTGGCTGTATGTCAGCAGGAAAAATACACCTACACAGACACTCCTAGTTGTGGAATGACCCAATAGGGGGAGGGACTGTCTCAATAACGATAATGTATTTATTTGTTAAGGGACAGATACAATTAAAACATTGACAGTCAGATGCACTGCACCATCATGCTTTAGTGTGCGCTAATTTGCACCATCAACCCCCCTAGATATGTAGCTGTTATTTTTTTTACCAAACTGTTTTACTGTTGTTCAAGTTTTGACAAAGACAACCATTTCGAGGACTTTAATAAATTCACAGCGACAGCTAACAGTGTTTTTACCAATTGTCTTTTGGAAAGTAGATGATACTATAATTTAGATGCAGATGATTCAATAAGATGAATGAATTGATGATAATGAACCATTTTAATGAAGCGTTTTATTCCAGAGAAATTGAGAACAAGAAATATTGTTGTTTTGTCTGTTTCCACTAGTGAATGGGCTCCTACATAATAGGGGGTTCAAAGTGTGTGTGGGGGCGTCTGAATAGAATAGTGTGAGTGTGAGGCAAGTGCGGGGTGTGTAGGCATGTCACAAGGCAATTATCCGGCGTTGCCGTGTGACAAAATGGCGGTTCTCTGTCTTTTGTGTGCAGATGGTGTGGGAGAACGGCTGTGTGGTCATTGTCATGCTGACGACCCTCACTGAGAGCGGAGTCAAACAGTGCTACCACTACTGGCCTGATGAGGGGTCCAACCTTTACCACATCTATGAGGTACGAGGCCTGGCTATCCAATGTCGGCTGTTTGATCAAATTGACATTTTTTACATTATTCTAGTTGTATGTATTGTCTGTTCTAAATTGAAATATGGTTATAGTCGTTTTGATTTTAAAATGCATACGCTTGTGTAACAGAGTCATCTCAGCGTAATTTGGTTGTAAATTTACTCACTTTTAATTGTATTAATCTGTTTACTTAATAGCACAGTAATACACATTTTCTGTGTTTCTATAAGGTGCACTACATGTTTAAAATGGCATGCTTAAGCGTGTATTCAGGGTAACTCTGACCATAGAATTAGACCATGCAACTCATTCTACTTCTCTGACATCACTTCCTCTTTTTGTAGGTGAACCTGGTGTCGGAGCACATCTGGTGTGATGACTTCCTGGTTCGTAGTTTCTACCTGAAGAACATGCAGACCAACGAGACGCGCACCGTCACGCAGTTCCACTTCCTAACCTGGCTCAACCAGAACGTCCCTGAGTCCAGCAGGACGCTCCTGGACTTCCGCAGGTAGGACTTCCTAGAGTCAGGGCTATCCTCACCGCTATCTAAAATTGCCAAAATCCGTGAACTTTCCCAAAATTCCCAGATTTACCAGAAATCCTGAAGGAATTTGGGGAAAGTTACATGGGATTTTGGGGAAAGTTACCAGAGTTTTGCAACCATATTGTTGTCAGATTGATATGGTATCAATAGGGTATTTTGTGGTATTAAACTTCTGGTACTCTTTTCATATTCTCTCTTATTTTCCTCTCACTTTACGTGCCAGTCTTCATATAGTACAATGACTACTAGGACTCAGTCATCTCTTTATTGCTAGCCCTGCTGCTCTCTGAGGTCCACAGAGGAACCTTTCAAATAACAGAACAAGTCTGAGTAGTGTGTTATATACAGTGCCTTGCAAAAGTATTCATCCCCCTTGGCATTTTTCCAATTTTGTTGTATTACAACCTGTAATTTAAATAGATTTTTATTTGGATTTCATGTAATGGACATACACAAAATAGTCCAAATTGGTGAATTGAAATGAACAAAAATAACTTGTTTCAAAAAATTCAAACAAATAAATAACGGAAAAGTGGTGCGTGCATATGGATTCACCCCCTTTGCTATGAAGCCCCTAAATAAGATCTGGTGCAACCAATTACCTTCAGAAATCAAAATTAGTTAAATAAAGTCCACCTGTGTGCCATCTAAGTGTCACATGATCTGTCACATGATCTCAGTATATATAAACCTGTGCTGAAAGGCCCCAGAGTCTGCAACACCACTAAGCAAGGGGCTCCACCAAGCAAGCGGCACCATGAAGACCAAGGAGCTCTCCAAACAGGTCAGGGACAAAGTTTTGGAGAAGTACAGATCAGGGTTGGGTTATAAAAAAATATCAGAAACGTTGAACATCCCACGGAGCACCATTAAATCCATTATTAAAAAATTGAAAGAATATGGCACCACAACAAACCTGCCAAGAGAGGGCCGCCCACCAAAACTCACGGACCAGGCAAGAAGGGCATTAATCAGAGAGGCAACAGAGACCACAGATAACCCTGAAGGAGCTGCAAAGCTCCACAGCGAAGATTGGAGTATCTGTCCATACGACCACTTTAAGCCGTACACTCCACATAGCTGGGCTTTACGGAAGAGTGGCCAGAAAAAAGCCATTGCTTAAAGAAAAAAATAAGCAAACACGTTTGGTGTTCGCCAAATTGCATGTGGGAGACTCCCCATACATATGGAAGATGGTACTCTGGTCAGATGAGACTAAAATTGAGCTTTTTGGCCATCAAGATTCTTGAGGGAAACCTGTTTCAGTCTTCCAGAGATTTGAGACTGGGACGGAGGTTCACCTTCCAGCAGGACAATGACCCTAAGCATACTGCTAAAGCAACACTTGAGTGGTTTAAGGGGAAACATTTAAATGTCTTGGAATGGCCTAGTCAAAGCCCAGACCTCAATCCAATTGAGAATCTGTGGTATGACTTAAAGATTGCTGTACACCAGCGGAACCCATCCAACTTGAAGGAGCTGGAGCAGTTTTGCCTTGAAGAATGGGCAAAAATCCCAGTGGCTAGATGTGCCAAGCTTATAGAGACATACCCCAAGAGACTTGCAGCTGTAATTGCTGCAACAGGTGGCTCTACAAAGTATTGACTTTGGGGGGGGTGAATAGTTATGCACGCTCAAGTTTTCTGTTTTTTTGTCTTATTTCTTGTTTGTTTCACAATAAAAAATATTTTGCATCTTCAAAGTGGTAGGCATGTTGTGTAAATCAAATGATACAAACCCCCAAAACATCCATTTTAATTCCAGGTTGTAAGGCAACAAAATAGGGGAAAATGCCAAGGGGGGTGAATACTTTCGCAAGCCACTGTAGCCTGGTGTTATTGTATTTGTGGTGCACACTCATGAGATGAGATCTTCTGGGAAAGACAAGGGCCAGGATATGTGGTCTAAGAAAATATACTGCCATCGAACCACCAACTGTGGTGAGTGTAGAAATGTTGTATTTTATCACAGGGTGAAGGAATGGTGAGGGGAAATACTGAGTTCTCACTCAATTTCTTATCACATACTATTGCAGTAACACTTGAATCTGAATATTGGTTTGTGGTTTCAACAACATTTATCACACTTGAGGGTTCGAGAACATAAACTGCAAGCTAATTCCTCTCTCTGTATGCCAGCATGTATTTAATTAACACAACCTACTTCTGATCGAGCAGCACACTCTTTTTGTCAGTTTCATAGCTTCCTACCTGTTTTGGTTTGGTTTTTCCTTTTGTTATTTTGCCAGCTAATTAGCGGTTGCCAGTGTCATTTTTGTGATGTTGCAGCTAGTAATATGAGCCCAGTTGCATAGTCACAAAAGTGATCATTGGAAACTGTGACTCTGCAACCAGGGGCCTTGCGGAACCCCCCTCCTCCTCCTCCTACCCCTCTCTCTCCTCAGCCTCTCCTCTCTCTAACGACCTCTCGCCTTTTGCTTGCTCATGATTTGCTTGACTTCCTCTGACTGATACTCTCTATAAGCGTAACTTCTCTAAGGATCGCCTCCCTCCTTTGAATTCCCCCACTACTCCCCCAACCAACCCCCCATTGGTGATCTGCTGTTGTCCTATGGTAACTTGGTTCATGGTGGGATCTGTGGGATCGGGACTTCTGAATTGTGAAATGTTTTCTCTGTTTGTTGCGCAACATTTTCTGTCAATTTACTTTTGATCGATGAAGGAATGCTGTTAAGTTATATCCAATTTATTAAAGAGATAATCATTGGGGATTATAGCGAGAGTATGAAACAAATCCTAGGCATAAGTATTCAGTGTCCTGCCACACATACTGTACATGTAAATATATAAGTCTGTAGTATACATACAGATGGAAGTTGAATTCTTATTTAGTTTCAGTAAGATCATTAGCCTACTTAGTGTACTTTTATGAGAGTGAGTGACCCCCTAACCCCACCACCACTTCCCCTAACCCCCACCACCACTTCCCCTTTAACATTGTAGTTCTTGCGCTCCATGATCAAAAGATCTGGTCCAGCATAATTCACCCCCACAACAACAGCTAGTTAACAATGTGAGGGCCGCTGTAGGGTGCTGCTGGCAGGAGTGTGTCTCCTTGTCTTGCCACTGTGTAATGTCTTTAATTGTACAAGGTTAATGCACGGGGGACACAGGGACTGAGTCTCAAATGGCACCCTATTCCCTATGTAGTGCACTATTTTTGATCAGAGCCCTGGTCAAAAGTAGTGCACTAAATAGGGAATAGAGTGTCATTTCGGACGCAGTCAGGCCTTTTACCCAGCAGCCTCCACACCTCATTACCACAATCCAATATATCACCACTGCAATGGCATATCTTCATTAAGTCAGTCTATTAATTATGGTTGTGAAATGTGGATGTATTATTTAAATGTTTTTGATTGACAAGGGATGTATCTTTCCTCCATAGTATCATTATAATATTTTACCTTGATGTAGACTTGTTCTTGATATACAGAAATGCATTTCTATTAGGTCATTTTTAATTTGAGAAGTGTTGCCCAGTTAAAACCAAGCCTAAATGAGAATAACATTGGTTCAATGACTGGGTGTACTCTTTTATTTTATATTTCATTTTGATGTTGGGATTTGACATCATGTTTATGATGCTTTATGTCTTTTGTCTGTTCTGTTGCAGAAAGGTTAACAAGTGCTACCGGGGACGGTCTTGTCCTATAATAGTCCACTGCAGGCAAGTATAAACAGTATTCTACCTCAGTAAAGGAAGTAAATGATGTAACCACAGTATACCATGTGTCTGTAGTGGGTCTTATATCTATGAGGATTGCGCCCTCTCTCTGAGCCATAAGGTCCTAAAGGCTTCTTAACAGCTTCTACCCCCAAGCCACATGACTCCTGAACAGCTAATCATGGCTACCCGGACTATTTGCATTGTCCCCCCCACCCCACCCCCTCTTTTACGCTGCTGCTACTCTGTTTATTATCTATGCATAGTCACTTTAACTCTACCCACATGTACATATTACCTCAATTACCTCAACTAACCTGTGCCCCCGCACATTGACTCTGTACCGGTACCCCCTGTATATAGCCTCCCTACTGTAATTTTATTTTACTGCTGCTCTTTATTTTTTACTTAACACTTTTTTTCTTAAAACTGTATTGTTGGTTAAGGGCTTGTAAGTAAGCATTTCACTGTAAGGTCGACACCTGTTGTATTCGGCGCATGTGGCAAATAACATTAGATTTTTGATTTGATACGGTTGAATAGATGTACAAAGATCTATATCACAGTTCCCAAATATATATCAAACCTGAAATAAACGGTTGGAATATAGTTTATCGTTTACAGCTTGTGTTTTCAGTTTTCATATAACCATTAGCACAAGCAACAAAATGCTAGAGGCATTGTACAATACACAGATGCACCTTGCAGACAGATCACAGAGCTCTCTCCTTCTCTCACTCTGCTCAGCTCTGAGAGACCAGCCAGTCGAGGCTAGGCAGGCAGACATCTTAAGACGTGTTTTCTGTGGTCCGAGGCTGTTTGTCCCCAGCGTTATCTTTGATCAGTCCATAATGACCTGTGCTAGACATTGCTAGGTGTAGGTACATACTGCACACTGCAGACCTCAGATCACAGACGTAGATAGCAGCATCCCCCTTGAGTTCATGTCTGTGTCCCAAATGGCAACCTATTCCCTATATAGTGGCCCTACAAGGCCCTGGTCAAAGGTAGTGCACTATAAAGGGAATAGGGTGCCATTTGGGATGTACATCCTGTATACTGCAGTGGGATTGTGTTCAATTATCACTGCCCAGTGTGTTCAGGTACACAACAGACTGTGTGTGTATGTACACACACCACTCGTGTTTTTTGGGGGGGGTTTGGTTTTATTTTCACAGAGCCAACTTCAGTTGTAGATTATTTAGAAATGGAAAGACATAAGTGAAATACATAGTGAAAATAGTATTGCAACTCTATTCAACAGACAACATCTTTCTCTATACTGAGTGTTTTAGTTTTTCACCGGCAATTTGAAGGAATGTATTCTCCCTTGCATAATATTTCAGCTTTGCCACTTTTGAGGACGGTTCATTTTTTCCTGTTATTACATTTAATCTCGAAAACAATCTTTTTATTCCAAAATCATTATGCTTTGATGTTGTTCAGCCCTTGAAATAACATCAGTAGTTTTATATGCTTGGATACTAAACCGTCCTCTATACTGTCACCTGTTATAAGTGCATGGAAGCAAGGCACGCTTTTAGGAAGTGAAACAATATCAAACAAATAATATCAGCATTCAAAATGAACAACTTGTTTTCATTTTTAGGGCTATAAGAACAATTGTGTTGACTAAAACGATAACACATAGTTAATGACGATCGTCTTTCTCTCTCTCCCTCTCTCTCTCTCCCTCTCTCTCTCGCCCTCTCTCTGTCTCTCTCTCTATTGCAGCGACGGCGCCGGGAGGAGTGGAACATACATTCTGATTGACATGGTTCTCAATAAGATGGCTAAAGGTGGGAGTCAGACAGCTTTTATTTTCTCTTTACGCTTGTGTGGTGGAGGCATCGCCATGGCAACATTAAAGCCTTCATTTTTCAGCCATGGGTCTTGAAATGCATTAGAGGGTGACTGGCTGGGGTGCAGCTTTATTGAATGAATGATCAATGGAGATTGAGAGATATTTTTGGATAATATTTTCCAAAGGCAGTATTCTCAATCACAAGTAATATTTCAGATTTTAAGAGTTCCTACTCTGCCAATTTAAATCAAGCAAATTGTAAGTGTGTTATGATCAGTTCATGATGTTTATTTGAATGTTATGCAAACTATATACATAATTGTGTTCATGTAGACTCACATGCACGTTATGTTGGAATGTGCTATTCTATTCAAATGAAAAGCACCTTACACCAATTGCTTCAGCATGACACACACACACACACACATACACACACACAGGTTCACCCCCTATTTTTTTCTTGACCTATTCTCCTCTGGTTTGTATGTGTTTGTGTGTGTGCGTGTGTGTGCATCCGTGCGTTTACATTTGTGTATTAGCGATTGCAAAATCTTCTGACCGGTGCTGTGACCTTGGCCTTAATGAAAGATCAAAGGCCAAAGCAGGCATCTTAGGCCTGCTGAGAGGGGCTTTTCCCAGGCTGTCACGCTGTGAGGCAGCCCAAAGGCTTTTTTCTCCGTGCCGGGGAGGAATCTGGGCCCGGCCAGTTAGGGCTAGGGTCCTCTTTGTCTGTCTCCTGAAAAGCAGGAGGCCCAGGTTGCAGCGACAGCGTTCCCTCAACCTGATCAAAGGACCTGTAGGCCACACAATCATTCTCTCCTCTCTTTTTTTACCCTCTCCTTTTCTCCCAAGGAATGAATTGTAAATTCGGAAGCAGAGAATTATGCAGTTTTTTTTTTTACTTACTCCCAAAGCCTGTTATTTTTTTCTCCTGCTGTAATGTTCTCTCTAACTTAAGAATCGGCAGCACAAGTGCAGGAGTGCTTTCAGCCCGGGGTCCAGCTGCCAGCCATGGCTCTGTCTCTTTCACGGCTCCCACAAGGACTTGGGGCTTTCTCCTCTTTATTCTCAGGCTCCCCTCCTTGAAGGGAATCTTGCGAGGGAAACTCAATTGAGCCGTTTATACTGTTCCTATACAGTCTGGTTTATTAGAACCAGCACAATAGTACGATTGTTAGTTCCCAGAAAATAAAGAACTTATCAGTGTGGCGCTCGTAGAACTGTGCGAGCACCATTCTTTGTAACTGTAAAGTAAAAACTGTCATATTGAAAGAGAATGGCTTGAATGAGCTATTCTAGCTTATTATTATTTGTATGTGTCAAAACAAAAAAGTTTGCTCTTATGATACACAGGAATGATTTTCTGAAGAATCTGTGGGAGGGGTTGAGGTAGTTAGCTACAGAAAACAAATAAAATCCATTTTCTTGTCATCTATTTTCATCACCACTCCTCATGAATTTAATTGTGTTGTGATTGTCTCTCCCTCGCTCTGTGAGGTTTCATGGTAGGCTTTCAGCGCCACACAGGCGATCATGTAGTCTGGCCCCAATTAGTTCAAGACCCAGATAGCCGTCTTCTTTGTGATCACAGCCGTGTTTGGTCGGCAGGGGAGCATGGAGCGGTGCCAACTGGGCACTGGGGCTGGGCCTGCTGCCAGCCTGACTGGGCACTGGTGCCGAGACAGGGAAGGGAGGCTGCTCTGCTCTCCCAGTAGCCAGCACATCTAGCTATTCACCTGGGCGGCAGCTTGCCAGGCAGGCAGCCAGACAGACACTCCCCACCCCTGGCTGCCTGACACTGAGACAGCCTATATGGCACCTTGTTTAGCTCACAAAGCAACAGGGGGGACAAAGCTTTTATCATAACAAATCCTTATTTTGAGATTTTTATGTCGTTTTTTTAAGAATCCTAGCTAAATACCTGACTCACTCTGATTCCGGTATCTTACATTTCGTGGTTTTACAAATACCTTTGTAAACATGGTCTTTTTCCCCAGACAGTTTTTTCTCCCCTCTCCTTTTTCATCCAGACAACAAGAACAATCTGAGCCTTGTTTGTAGCATCTGTGTGGAGATGGGATGAATGTAATAGTTTTCAATCGTTGCAAGGCGGAGTTCCAAAGGGAGCGAGTAAAAAAAGAGATTGACAGACGCTGCCTGGATTATCTCCTGGCTTTGAACTCGGTCCAATTTGTTGTTGGTGTTGTGTTGCAGGTGCTAAGGAGATTGATATTGCTGCCACCCTGGAGCACTTGAGGGACCAGCGGCCGGCTATGGTCCAGACAAAGGTACTGTCCTCACCTCTACTGGGAACTCTAATGGACTCTTTTATTTTTGAGAGGGAGGGAGGGAGCTTACTATAGAGGCAGGTATCATTACGTAGTAAATTGGTGCACAAATGGTTCTTCACAACTGGATTTGGTGCAGGACTGATGCAATACTTTACAATGTAATGCAGTCAGAGCAGAAGTTATCTTGACATCCAATCCCCTCAATACATTTCCTCAAAGAGGATGATGTACCTCAGAGCCTTTGTACATCACCACCAGACCTCATTTAAAAGAGTCTAATACATCACCCCAGCCTACAGTCTACTAGAACAGACCTATCTGCACGAGAACAAAACTACGAAATGTAGAAACGTTATGATCCCTTTTTAATCTGAAAACCTAGCTTTAAGAAGTGTCTGCAATGCAGCTCTGATAATTAGCTTCAGAGGGATTGCCTTTGCTTTAGTGCAGTGCTACGTTTGTAGTAGGTGTACGGTGCTTCCTATATACTTCGAGAGAGAGAGAGAGAGAGAGAGAGAGAGAGAGAGAGAGAGAGAGAGAGAGAGAGAGAGAGAGAGAGAGAGAGAGAGAGAGAGAGAGAGAGAGAGAGAGAGAGAGAGAGAGAGAGAGAGAGAGAGAGAGAGAGAGAGAGAGAGAGAGAGAGAGAGAGGCTCAGTTAGTTCTGTGTCTTGTCTACGGTGGGATGTGTAACACAGGTACACTCAACAAATGTAGAACTTTTATGTCTGTTTCATTAAGCAGAGCTCTCTCTCCAGAGTGTCAGCTCAAATGGCACTAAAAACATAGAATGAACAATATTTATTCTGGTCAGACAATTCATAGTGCATCAACAGCCAGTTTGGAAACATGAATAATCATATTTTTGCTATTATGGTGATGAAAACATAATGTTTTATTAGTAGAAGTCTTTGTTTTCTGCAATACATTTCTGATGCAGTACTATTGATTTCAGTAGTTTAGGGTTCTACATCAGTGGTTTAGGTGCTACATACATAGTAGTATGAAAATGTATGCACTCACTAACTGTAAGTCGCTCTGGATAAGAGTGTCTGCTAAATGACTAAAATGTAAATGTTAGTTGTTTGTTTAGTTAGTAAATGCTAGTCTCACTCCCCCTAGTGGTTACTTATTGAATCACAGAGAAGTCAGGACTTTAATCTTTCACATGAATCGCTGTACTGTAGCTCCCCAGGTGTTTCGATTTCTGTAATATGAGTCTATTTCAAATTAATCTGGAAAGAACATTGGCTTTAACTTTACGTTGACTCTCTCTCTCTCTCTCTCTCTCTCTCTCTCTCTCTCTCTCTCTCTCTCTCTCTCTCTCTCTCTCTCTCTCTCTCTCTCTCTCTCTCTCTCTCTCTCTCTCTCTCTCTCTCTCTCTCTCTCTCTCTCTCTCTCTCTCTCTCTCTCTCTCTCTCTCTCTCTCTCTCTCTCTCTCTCTCTCTCTCCACCCTCAGGAGCAGTTTGAGTTTGCATTGACAGCTGTTGCAGAGGAGGTGAACGCCACACTCAAAGCTCTTCCACAGTGAGAGGAGTACCCACTACCGAGCGTCAGCAGCAGCTCTCCCCAGGGATCTCTCTCCTTCCCTCCTGTCTCCCACTCCACCTCTCCACCCCTCCTCCTCTCCACCTCTCCATCTCTCCATCTCTCCATCTCTCATCCACCTCTCCACCTCTCCATCTCTCCTCCACCTCTCCACCTCTCCTCCTCCTCTCCATCTCTCCTCCACCTCTCCACCTCTCCTCCACCTCTCCACCTCTCCTCCATCTCTCCACCTCTCCTCCACTCCTCCTCTCCACCTCTCCGTCTTTGTGGATGTTGTGCGAGAAAGTGTGACCTGATCTTAGCCGTGTAATATAAAGCCTTCATTGTTTTGTCTATGGAGCTTGTTTCCAAACAGACAATTTAGTGCATAAAGAATTTGACTGATTGAAAATAAGTTGTATCTGTTAAATGATTGGAATATATTAATCACATAAATCTTGTTTTTAGATCTCTATGTATGCGTGTGTAAATGATTATCTTTGTCATCACATCTGAATCATAGGACATATTGAAGTTTGATGTCTTTTTTCACTTTGGTCCTATTATACGGTGTACTAAACCATAACATGTAATGTATATCAAAAGGAAAACTGCTCAATTAGGTCAAGTGAATACTGATGCTGATGCTAACTCTAGTTACCATAGTGATAATGATACCAAGCAATATGTGTTTCTTCAGATTGTCGAGACCTGGACAAATAATTGTAAGTTGTAAGTCGTAGACAACGATTGTGAGTAAACTAACTAATGTCAGTAAACTAAACTAAGTCATGCTAATGCCTGCCTCAAGTAAAGCAGTTCTATGGATTGGTGTGTGTACTGTATGATATTGTCCTTTTGTAAATAAAGCGTGTGATTATAAACTGGGTGGTTCGAGCCCTGAATGCTGATTGGCTGAAAGCCGTGGTATATCAAAACATTTAGTTTTACTGCTCTAATTACGTTGGGAACCAGTTTATAATAGCAATACGGCACCTCTGGGGTTTGTGATATATGGCCAATATACCATGGCTAAGAGCTGTGTCCAGGCACTCTGTGTTGCGTCGTGCTTAAGAACATCCCTTAGCCGTGGTATATTGGCCATATTCCACAAACCCCCGAGGTGCCTTATTGCTATTATAAACTGCCACTGGATGTCCCTGTGTTTTATTAACAGCTGAGTCAATATCTGATTCCCTAATGGCACCCTATTCCTTATATAGTGCACTACTTTTCACCAGGGCTCTATGTAGGCCATAGGGTGCCATTGGGGCCGTAGACCAGGCAGGTTTGTCTGCACTACAGGAGTCCTGTCAGCTCTACCCCAACACTTTGTGCTTTGACTAGACTCATACCATTTAAATCACAAAATCTTATGTCAATCTCCATATGTTTGTGTCCATTGGATTGCATTCTGTTTTGTACATCCATTATGTTCTGAATTGCAAATGATATGACCTGGTTGTATAGCATACACTACCAATGCATGGCTATTTCAATCTATTATTCGCCAGTAGTGTGTACAGTATTTCCTTCAGCCTCAAAATATATCCTAGTGAAACCTTGGTTAACATCTTTTGCTTAGCAGATATTACTTCACTTCTGTTTGACGAAACATATGATTGTACATTATGTATCCCATACTTCATGTCACCATGAAGAAAGCCAGAGATATGACTATTTACTTTGACAAGCCAAGGATATTTAATCATGCCATTTGAGCCATTCATTTCTGAACAATAGTAGTAGTGCCAGTACAGAAGAGGAATAGTGGATTGTTATTACATATTGGCATGAACTCCTTTTCCCTATCACAGCTGTGCGTTCCAAATGGCACCCGACTCCCTTTATAGTACACTTCTTTTGACCAGAGCCCTATTGGCCCTGGTCGAAAGTAGTGCACTATAAAGGGAATAGGGTGCCTTTTGAAACACATCCAGAGTTAAAGTGGGCCATGTTTAGGCTGTGTCCTATACTGTCAACCACTGCAAAAACATTTTATCTTTCAACTCATTTATTTCAAGAGATGGCTGGTCTGTTCCACTGATCTGTATGTATATATTATTAGTCAAAAACCAACAGAAAATATTTTGTTCTATCAGTGAAGATACACTATTGTGAATAAAGTCCCATTATGGATGGTGCAACCTTGTACTCCCATTCTTTCCACCACTATCTGCTTGTACAGTTCCGTACATATTTATTTTTGCATTGTCTGAGTAGGCAAGAAACCTCTGTACAGACTACACTACAATCATCATACCTATTCAAAATGAGATCTGATCCTATTTCTCAAAGAGACCTTAGCACCGTAATTGTAAGGTCTGTGAGCAACAGCAGCACTGTATACGCAGGAAAGCCTAACACTAACAAAGCATTGGTCAATGTGGAGTGAGCGCCAAGTCACATCAGCCTGACAGTTAGCTTGGCGTCCTCCTCTTACCCTGCCAATCTCACCTCATTGTCAGCCAGAATGTCTGTGATTGGCTGGTTGCTATTCTGATCTCCAATCTGCATGGTGATTCACATGGCTTGGCAGCTTCATGCTACTTCAGACTATAGATTGTGCTGTCAACACTTCCAACCAACCACACAGTAACAGGATGGAACGCTGACTGACTCATGTCTCATTGTCACACTCACACACACACACACACACACAATGGAGAGAAGGAAGTCACCATAAGAAATATCAGTAATTATAAAAATATATATCAATAAACAACAAGCCTTATAGATAGAATCTATTCTGCTTTTCATAGTAAAAAGTTCAATTTACAGGTGGTATGGTAAGATAGCACACACACAAAAATAACTGCTCTAACTCTGCTCTTATGCCCAATCATCTGTGAGGATATAGAGCTCGTGGCACGTTCAGAGCTCTATTCAATCCGTATCGCGGAAGTTCAGCGTTACAGCGTGATTGAGATTTAAAGGCAATGTTCCCGCGTTAGCGGAGACTGCATTCGCGGTTAACACTGCATATGTCAGCTTAGTCAGAAATTACTGTTACATTTCTAACGCTTCAGCAATACAGATTGAATAGAGCCCATCGTCTCTCAAGTCATCGATTTGTTATTTTATGCTTTCTAAGTCAATATCTCAGCTAGCTACAGTACAGTATGTACCAAGCTCAGTATGTACCAAGCTCAGTATGTACCACGCTCAGTCAATAAGCTCTTGTTTTGCCTGGATAAGCACACTAAATAAACAGTGAAACACTATCTGAGTCCTAACCTTGCTCCTTCGGTCCCTCTAAGAACTGCCACAGAGCTAATAAAAATGACCAGCCATTATATTCTATTCTACCCTCTACAAACAAGGCACCTTTTCAGGACCATGGTCAGCTCTCTTCCCAGCACGTGTTCCACTACTGTATGTTAAATACATTTAATTAAATGTTGTGGGGTCCAACAGGTTTGTCTCACTGGAATACTTGGAACAGGCCCTTGTTAAAAGCCTACCTGTTTACAGAAATACCAGGATTTATCACATGACAGCTAGCTAGCTACAGGTTGTGGCACCACATCGTTGACCCTGAAAATAGCCGCTCCCCCTTTTAGTGATGTCATGCCAATACTGTGAATACTTGAAACAGGCCCTTGTTCAAAGTCAACCTGTTTTTATCCCTGTCTGACCATGTGAATGATGTGAGATTCCATACACAGCGACCATGGTCTCGTTTCGCTATAGTGTAATGCAAAATGATCAAAAGTTGTAGTTTTCTATTGGTCTGAGCGCCTCAGTTGGGTTAAAGCTTCAGGGCCATGATATGGTTGGCTGTTTATGTTTTGCGGTTTTGAGTCTAATCTCTGAATGCTGCTGGCTGTGGTGACATAGGCTACAGAAGTAGAACAGGAGCCTGATGGGTCTTCAGAGAGGTCATTTGAATAAAACCACCATGGAATATTTGAATGACTGTTGCTCCAACTGCCAACATCTGGGAGAATGTCCCAAACAACACTCTATCCCCTAGTACCTTTGACCAGGGCTCTGGTCAAAAGTATTGCACTATATAGGGGATAAAGTGCCATTTGGGACGCAGAAAAAGACTCCGCATCACTTCAATCACTATAAAAATCTTTCTCATTACATCCAATCCAATTTGATTATTAATAGGCGTCACTGTGACTCTGGCATTTCATTTTGTTTCATCTCGCCCCCCATGCGTTCATCCTGGACACTTCTGGCATTTCATCGGTGTCATACGTGTGATGACCCCAATATTGCATGCTGTCACTCATCATTAGGCCGTTTATCAGCACCCCTCCAATTGCCGCACTCGGAGGGAATTTAACCATTTGCATACAAAAATTGCTTTCCTTCTGCATGGCATGAAATGACTGCTTTGCATAATTACAAATGATACGGGGATCTCAGACAAACCGTGTACTGGGGAATCAGGATGAATAATATGACTATAATAGAATAGCTACACTACAAGGTATGATGACACCCAGTGGGGGAACATGTCATGTGTTGAATGAGGAGAGGTTGTTAAGGAATTCCTCAGATGTTATTTAGGTCTGTAAGTACCTTACATACTGCTAGTAATCAGCTTGTTATCAGCCATTAGAATGAGTGGAATGTCAGAACATTGTTTGGCTAAAAATATTAGAGCTGAGGTCAAGTTGTTTTCCTGTCAAAACGGCATCTATAGTAGAAAGTATTATTTTATAAGGGAAAGAATGTCAAATGCTCATATTGAAGGAACGAAGCTTGAATGGCTTTTTGGTTTCTGGATCTAAATGAATTTGGACCGATAAATAAAAGCTTAAAAAATAGTTTCAAAGAATGACAAAAGCCAAATATATCTTATAGTGATACCACTACTCAGAGTGATTGCCCATTGAAAGGTGACCTGTGTGTGTGTGTGTATGTTTATGTTCAAGGCTAGAGACAGCGAGGCTGGTGAAGTGCCTGGGCAGTTCTGGGCTGCTCTTCAGGTCTGGAGAAGCTTCATGCCACACAGTCACACACTATTCTGTGTATAGTGCA